TCAGCGACAAAATGACGTAAGAGAATATAAAAAAAAGCATATTGAAGCCGAATGAACAGACTGTTCGGCACATCCATTAATTTAACTAAAAAAAAAATTCCCCAAGTCCGTGGACGAAAAACAAAATTTTTTTCCTTGCGCTATGTCCTCCGCTTGTGTGATAACTGTTGCATAGAAAAATTTTGTGTGAAAAGATCTCCAAATTAGAAACTTAAAGCCTTAGAATGGTTTTTAAAAAATGTAGATACGACTATTTTTCGATGAGATACAGTCTTTCAAAAATCACCAAAAATTTAGGAAACATTTTTGTTCTTTTAATTGTTTTGAGTAGTGTAGAATGATTGTAATTGCTCAGAAAAATAATGAATATTCTTGCACAGGGGCCATAATTATATTGTTATGAATCCAAGAYTGAAAATGCCCAAAATTATATAATATTTTCCTACTTTTGATTAAAATTTAGTGAACGATTATTTTTATTGTGCCAATTAGATTTTTTTACTGTGCACTTTTGTATACTGAAGAAATTTACAATAAAACACTGCGTATTTTACTTATTTATTATTTTTATTGTGCAAAAATTATTAAATACTGAACATTTATCATTTTATGTCGAACAAAATCGAATTTTTTACTAAATGTTTTATTGCTACCTTTTGTTTTTTCATGCGAAGCATATTCAGCTARTAATTTATAAGTAAATAAACATAAATAAAAAAGGTATTTAGTAAACAATGACCAAATCCAGTTACGTCAAGTTGAGGCTAAAAGACACAAAAAGTCTTTTCTCACAGCTCCCAAAAGAGTAATGCGAAATAACTCAAAAATAAAAGACAAAATTTGCATTTGATAAGCTTTTATTTATGGAATCTTTATTGTTATGGATTTTTTACAAGWTTCATTTTCTAATTTGGAAATAAGTCTAGACACCAAWAAAATTGTCGCATTTTCAAATAATATTTTATGAACAATGGCTATTTACGTTACTAGACCGGAAGCCGGAAGTAAGGTTTTTATGGACGAATTAGAGAAACTAGTGAGACCATAATAGTGTCTACCGATCATGTAACGTATAAGATTTTTAAGTATACTGAAACATTATTTAAAAACAAATAATTTGGGATAATTTAAATGAAAAAAAATTGGCTTTGAAAAAGATTGCTTTGCCTTTTTTGAAACGATTCAACAAAATCCAGTTTGTTTTATGCGGATTCTTTAATTTGCGTTAATTTCCTTTAATAAAACGAATTCTTACAAAGAAGAACCSAAGCCAGGGTGACTCTTAATGAAATGTAATGCCTAAATACACGATTTTTGTCGAATTTTACAATCTTGTCTCTGTGTAAGTTTTCCCCGTGTCCTCGAAATTCGGTGGCGGTGCGTCGGCCGCCCCCGGCCRCCTTTATGATGCGTTGTTATTTATAATGGTCTCGCCGCCCCCTAATAACGAAACTTTTTAAGATCGCGACGCAATGTAACGACACGGTTGAGACGAACTTTTCCTTAAAAAAAAAGAAGCCCACAACGCTTACTGCGATTAATATTTAAGTGTGACGCGCTGTGCGTACGGGGGCGGTTTCGGCAGTCGCTATCTTGGAGACAAGACAAAAAGATTTTAAATATTCACGACGTCATGCATAAGAAAAATTCGCCACGATATAACAGCCTAATTTTCCGATATAGCGATGTTCAAGGTCGACATTATGTCCGATGTTGCTTTGGAAAGTTGCTCTCCGAAGATGTGCGACACGTGAAAAATTCAAGAGACGGCGGAACGACCTTGTTTAGACATTTATGTGCTGGAAATGTTCGGCGGGCCGGCCCTGACCATTGCTGGGCCGGTTTTGATATGAAAGCGGTTAGACGAGTTCGGGGCACCACCTATTAGGGCAGTATGAATTCTTGTCAAAAGGTCAAAGACCAATTACTACCTAATTTTAAATTGTAATTACAAATTCACCCAAAAAATGACGGATAACCTCGATGATGCTTTGGGGAGTTCGTAAAAAATGTTAAAAATAATGTCCTGTTTTATTTTTTTCAGCTATGATGAATTATGAATTTTACTAAGCCGGCAACTTGTAATGCAGCAGCAAAAATAATGAAAGTAACGAACAATTAAGGTTATTTCTGTTTCCCAAGAAACAAAAGAAAAATAATTGGTTTTAAAATAATTCTTATCCAATGTTGTCAGATATAATTTTAGGTAACTTACACTTAACAATTTTTAAACAAAAAATTGCTTGTCCAAGCCTTACACAAATAAATTTTTACTGTCGTTAACAATGAAATAATTCTCAATGTTCTAGAAAAGGTAACAAATTAACATAGACTAGAATTATAAAATTTATTCGTCAACTTAGAAGCTTAATAATAGTTTCTAAACTTTGGTTTACAGAATTTTTTAATTATTTTTCTGTAATTAGTAAATGTAACATAAGAAATCAACGAGCTTATCCGTTATTTTTAGATCACTGTGTATACAGACTGAGGCCGAAAGTACTTTTATTTTAACCTCTAATTAGCATAAGTAAAAAAGGCGAATTCGTTTACCAATTTCTAACTTTATAAAAATAAAACTACAAATTTTCACAATTTTGAAAATTTCATTTAAACCATGTGCATCAAGGTTTACTTGCGGGCCCTTAACAGCTCCTAAAACAAGAAAAAAATTATGAAATGATGAAAGAAACTTTGCAAGGGCAATACACTTCTAAATTGGTTAAAAATATGTTAAAGAAATGTTTCTTTTCGCGGTTTTGGCAGCTTTCGACTCCAAAAAAAAATTTTTTTTCTCCAAAAAAATTTCGTATTTGTCTTTTGCTGATGTGATAGTTAAAACTGAAAATTCTCGTTTTACTTTATAAATAAATTATTATTCCTTTTTTTGGCTAACACAATTGTAGACTTTTATTTGGTATGTAATACAATTTATTCACAATCATAGAATACCTAATAATCAAATTATCTTGCATGTGAAAAGTTGGAAACTATGACATTTCAACTTCATTTATCAATTAATATCAAAATATAGTTCAGGTTGGAAAATGTTCACTTTCCAACCCGCAAACTGATAAGGAAGTGACTACTTCCCAACCTCAACTTTATACCATGTCATGTTTTTTAAAATTTGATAAATATTGGCTTTCTGTTCTTTAAAAAAGATAATAGTGAATAAAATAGAATACAGAGTGTGCCAAGTTTTAGGGCCGGCGTAAAAGAAAATATTTTTAATTGATTAAAAAAGAATTTTATAAATAATTAAATACGCTTTCATTTAATGTTTTGATATTGTACAACATTTTTAGCATATGGCAGTGAGACCTTAAAAATTAAATTTGGAGAAAAAAAATTCAATTAACTGGAATATTTTCCACATTATAAAATTCTTTGATTTGTTTGTGGTATTTTG